TTTTCTATTAATGTTCTCTATGGGAAGTGTTAAAGTTAAGCGACATATTACTAGTTGGAATGAAGTTTCTTTGCAAGTGTATGATACTATTCTGTTTCGGGTAATAAAGCAATTTTTATTCATAAAATTATTGATATCATGTTATGAATGCATATGGATAGACGAGGTAAAGTTGGTCCATAGTTGAGGACCAGTAGGAGGCCTGAAGAGACCTCTCGGGAGATCTCTCGGAACTAATCAGGATACATATTTTATATATGGCTTTCTTCATCCTGCGCTACTGAACAATTGAACCCGGTACCAGGGCAAGATGGCCACGTTGCTGCATGCTTGCTTATTGCGAAACAAGACATACGGTCAACAGGATCGTGGCGGGTATCAACATATAAAAGAAGACTGCTATCGTGTTAGTATAGTTAGTCGCAACAATTGGTTGTTGTAGATGAAGAGAAGATGCAACTTCGAAATTCTGAAATATTGAACATCTAGCTCCGACCTTCTCTGCATCTTAATTACCTATCGTTTATTGCATTTCCTAACAGTCCTTTTCGATAATCGATACTTTGTCGCGCGGTGCAAAAGTGTCTGCGCTTTTCGATATCGGTTGCTTCTCTAGGCTTTTCCGGTGCATGTCGAGAGAGAGAGAGAGAGAGAGAGTACACTGAGAGAAAAGACTGGTAACTATAACAAACTGCATTTAGTTACAGAAATTCATTGAATCCTTAGTAACTAATACTAAATATGATAATTACCAAATATTTAATAGATCGGGAGTATGACGTAATTGCATTCACAGTAACATCAATTAAATAATTTAGTAATAGTTACTTAATGTTAAATATTTAATATGAAATATATTACAGTTATGAACAGATATTTGATAATTGTTATGAAATCGTTATATCCCATATAATAAAAAATTCAGTAGGTACGAATTCTATTTTGTTACCAGTATAAGTATGTTTTGTTGCAGCACAACGAAAAATTCATTTATTTGCAGCTATTACATCGTTTCAATATCTATTATTACAGATAGTTGGTTGAACCTATCAAAAATTTTGTAACTATTACAAAATCGCTTATTTCAATTATTCAATAAGTTTTATTTACCAAATATATTCTGGAAGCAAATAAATTTTAACTAATTTTACTAAATTTTACTTCTGTCAAATAAATAATTTATTTTACAGAATTAAATTAATTAATAAGTATTGCCATAGCTTTGGCTCGCTATATTTACGTCTATCATTTAGTAATAGTAACCAAATTTTGATAATATTTACTAAATTCTTCTCTCAGTGTAGTCTTCGGCGCCGACGATCGCGTCGCTCGATCATCGGACTTCGCGAGAATTCAACGTTAGTCACGAGACTCGCGGCAGCATCGTAGATTGCGGGTAAGCTCGCGAAGTGTTATAGAGTTTCTGCAGGTGCACTCGAGGGTCTTCTCCGCTCGTACTTCCGAACCCTTCCGCAGACTTGAAGTGACGACGGTCGCTCCTTATTAAAGACCTCTTGAAGCAGGTTTACCTGCGATCATCTCGGGAAACGCTCAGCTAACAATAAGTATGCGGGCGCAGTTCTCACTCCGCATTTTCCTAATAGTTGCTTTTCCCGTGGCGTTTTCCTTCTTCCCTCGTCCCTTTTCAATGGCCTTTTAACGACCATGCAGTTCTCTCATTCGGCTAGTGAGACGTCAGTGTCTCCTTGCGCCTCGACGCTCATTTATTTACACCCGCGGATTTACGAGGCGTTTTTATGCGCCTCGGCGAGTTTTATGAAACGTTATAACGCACCAACCGAATAAAAGTTTACTGATTACACGCACTCCTGAATTAATAATTCGAGCGCGCAAGAGCGAGCGTGCGCTGACCACCTGTTAGTAAATACCGTAAAAAAAACAAAACACCATGGATAGAAGCAATATTGTGCAGGTGTGAAATGTGCACGAGCGTGAAATACGCTTCAAAACCACCGAGAAAGAAACTCTACAAACTAGCCCGAACGACGATCTTCCTTTCTTCGACACCTGTGACCGTATCTATTATGATTCACGTCGCTCTATCTCTCAGAGCAACCATTGTCACATAATGTCGTATGGTTCTCTTGAACTCTCGAGCCTCTCGATGATTCGACATCTCCCGATAAAAGATTCTCAGACGTCTCTTGCTTTCTCGGCCGAAGCTCGTCCGAGAGCACCGACGGGAAAACCACATTCCCGCGTTCTCGACAGCGTGAAGGAAGAGTCTCGCGCTTGCCTTTTCAGAATTGGTACCGCGAAACCTATATCCGCGTCTATAAAGCGCAGTGAACGCGAGCGGGTGCAACGAACTCTGTTCCGTATCTCTTTCTCTCTCTCTCTCTCTCTCTCTCTCTCTCTCTCTCTCTCTCTCTCTCTCTCTCTCTCTTTCACTCTCTCTTGTTCTTTCTCTTTCCCTTTCGTTGGCTCTCACTCTCTCCCTCTTTTCAACACCCCCTCCTGCAACGGCTCGCGTCATCCCACCCTTCCCATCACCCCCTCTCGCGCTGTTTCACTCATACGTCTGGTGTCAAGCCTGCGGTCTCTTGCCAGCGCTCGAGTTAAAGCCCATTTTCGCGTGCTTCACTCGTGTCACGCTCTCCGTGACATCGAATGTGACGATGCAACTCGCAGTGGAAAGAGTGCACTGTTCTGAAGTCGCATCGGCGGACGATTGTTGGGAACTGATAGCGTCAGCCTGGCACAATAATTAAGAGTCATTGTGTTTAATACATGGCTGAGTGCGCCAACACACCAGACCGCGTCTTAATGTCACTCTTGACGTCTTAATGTCAATCGAATGACAAAGATGCGTGTTTCACCTGCCTGTAGCAATCGTGAACTTTGTCAGTTGATTCTATCCTTTTGAAATTCAAATGTCCACCTATCATAACGTGGAAACGACGAGAGAGAGAGAGAGAGAGAGAGAGAGAGAGAGAGAGAGAGAGAGAGAGAGAG